TAATGCGCCAAATAGAAACGGTGGCCCTGGAACCAGTTGCGCAAACTTAACATTGTTAGACGTATGATTCTGATTTGGTTCCGCACCAGCTGTGTTAATTTGATCGGTATTAAGATCCACATTAAATAAGTAAAATATTACACCAAACATAGCTGGGCCTAGACCGTTGCATAGACCACGCATGCCTGTTACCATGCCTTGAACAGCACCTAAAATGTAAAAATAAAAATTCGTTAAAATTATATACTTTAATTAAAAGAATAAGTCCATTACAAATTAGTTAAAAAGTATATAAAAATGCAAAGCAAGTGGAGCTAATGACGGTATCTTCAATAACCAGATCAAAGTCAAGTAACCAAGAGGCACAATATATCAAACTGGTCGCGTGCATAAGAGCCTTAGTCTAAACCGAAACCCCCAAACACCATTTACATTACCAAGAGGCACGCAAGAATAAAAAAGGCACAGGACACATTTATAGCAATAGGATATACCTGTTGTGTGAACTCCGCAGCTTCCAAATGTATCAAATGCTCCTTGTAAAGGAGCATTACCTGTTACTGCTTAAAGCCCAACCTTCGGTTACCATATCAATTTCATTATTCTATTCCATTACTGACTTTCGTCACTGGCAAGAAGAGTAAACTAACTGAGCATACATCGAAAGATAACTCAGTCGATCACATGAGATTTAACTCCAACGTTGTTGAATATTTTTTTTTCCTAACACCATTATTAATATGACAATAAAATATACCGACTTTAAAATAAATATATGTATAGTACAGTAGGTGTTTATACGAAAACCTTATTACATAATCGTGACCTAAGCAAGGTTTAGTAGACTATTTAAAAGTTACTTTATGATATCTTGGAAGTATCTTGGAAGTAAAATTTCAATATTCTAACTTATTTCACTACGCTATTAGCCAATATAGCATGGTTGTTGAGATATTGGGCTTTAAACTTGAAAACTTATAACATTGAATACACGAACGAAAAAAAAAAATAAATATACCTAAAAAATCGAAATAACATCGAAATTAGATATATATTCATACGTTATGGTTTTTAAGGTTTTAGGAATTATTTTTTGTAATTTTATTACAAAAAATTATTAAGAATAAAGCGGTAATGGGTTAGATGTAGAATTGAAAGACCTTCTTCTTCTTACCCTGATTTTCTAGAAATTATATATGCCCTATCAAAACGTAGTTTTGGTAGTTAATTAATTTTTAATTTATAAAATAGCAAATATTTAAGTGCGCTTCCTCATTCAATATTATTATTTACCTTGTCGGTCAGCATTTGAATGTATGGATACAAAAGCACTTATAGCTGGATATGTTATGGAACCGAGTGCAGCTAACACACCTGCCGCCCACATCATCCTAAAAAAATTAATATATTTTGTTAAAAATTTTTTTAAAATATTTCTAAAATATATTTACCATTTTACATTACCAAATCCGTACCAAACTAATTGCAACATTTCTAAAACTAAACCTAAAATAATAGTGCGCTTTGGTCCAATAACACTACACGCAAAAGAAAATATGTTCTCAATGAGCTGACATCATTCCATTGCTATTATTTACAACTTACCGCATTAAGTAGCCCAATGTCACTTGTATAAAAATGCTGAGTATGCCGACGACAGCTATAAAAATTGCTACTTCCATTGTATTGAAACCCATTTTTAGTTTCAGATACACAAATATGCATGAATACTGACCGGCCTCTGGCAAGTAGGACAACAAAACTGTAACACACTGCATCAGAACGGTATGATCTGTGCCAACTTTACGTAACGCCTGCAGAATGCAAAATATACATTTTAGAAAAACAAACCAACATTATTGAAATATGCAAATGGAAGTATGGTAAATTATTCTTAATTAAATGAACACCTACTGCAAATGGGTCAGCTTGCTCCCAACTAATTGGCGCACCCCACGATGATGGCCGCACTTTCTCTGGCAAGCTTTCCGGCACAGCAACCAGTATAAAGAAAACATCAAGCACTGCAATTGCTGTGGCAAGTGCAACCACCAAAGTATCACCATACGATTCCATTAGTGCAGCACCCAAAGCTGGTGAAATTACCTGAAATAACAAAATAACAACAAATACATAATTTTTTGATGATGTCAATATTTTAATTTCATTTCCTACCAAACTTGCAGCAAATGTTGCTGACACCAAACCATAAGCTTTTGAGCGTTCCTCAATTGTTGTAACATCAGCGACATATGCAAATACCACCGAAAAGGTCACTGCGAAGATGCCACTTATTGAGATCATAGCAAAAAACCACCATGTATTTATTGTCATAAGTGGTATGGGAGCACAGGTAAAAAATACTGTTATTAGTAGAAAAAACTTCCGACCCCAAATATCAGACAAAGCACCAATCAATGGCGCACTTAAAAATGATAGAATGCCTTTAATGCCCATAACTAGACCATTCATCAGAAACGTATGATCCGGAAAGGTTTGATTTAGAACCTGAAAAGGATAGGTAAACATTTAAAAAAAAAAACTAACTATTGATATTATTGGTATAATTCCAATAATTATCTAAATTAATAAAAAATTTTGGTGTTAATAAATAGTTCAATAATATCTTACAGAAATTACGGGCATTGTGAGTAGACCCCACGCGAAAAATTCTAAAAATATCACAACCAAAGCATGGTACACACTAGGCTCTCCAATACCAGAACTCTGTAAATAATTTTAATTAAATTAGTTAAAATTAAATGTAATAATGAACAATTAACAATATTAAACATGGGAATATAAGTGATAATTAAATTACACCAATTGCGTTAGCTATTAAGAGTTATTATATCTGGTATATAAGTTAAATATATACATAATATATACTAATTCGCTTTTACACATATATTCGTTTAATATATATTCGATTATCTTAAAAGTCCTATTTCGACTAATTGATTTTTATATTATTATTATTATTTTATTAAAATATTATATATTATAATATTATATATTTTATTATATTTTTTATATTATATTTTATTATATTTATTATATTATAGAAGCATAATATAATTTTACAAAAGGTGGCACTAGCAGACATTAAACTTTTGAGCTACTTAATTTTTGCGGAAGAACCACACGCCAACGTCGAGCAAATATTATCTATAACTCGAGCCAGCGTTGTGGTGTTATCAAAAAAGGCGATCCATGTAAGTATCCAAAAACACAGAAACATACTTCTAGGATGTATGAGTATATTGCAATAAAAATATTCACAATATTTAATTCTCAAGATGATCACTTATAGAATTCGGTAGTCCAGCACAGATACAATCGAATGTGTGGATTTTAGCGGTTATCTTCATCTATAAAATCTAAAATAATAAGCCAATAACATAATTTTATTGACTTTCTTATTTATTAACTTTCTTTTATTAAGGAATGGTAAATCTATTCTAAACAATTTATATCATTCTAGCAATTAGATAAAAATGTTTATGTAAAGAAATCTGTGTTAGAAACCAGATTAACTTTGTATTATTGTATAAGCATATGGTGGGTTACTTTATGTTAAGTTAATTGATGTATTATGATACTACGTGTATACCTATCGCTATTTGAGAAAACATTCAACAAAGCTAATAATTGTTCAGAGAGAGATACAATTCGAAGTCCTTTCAGGAAGACCGCTAGGAAACGGTTTTGATACCACATTCCTCCTAACCGATCTTTTCTCAATATTACAGTCTTAGAATCACTCGGTCCCATTGATGATTTCAAATATTTATTTAATATATTTGTTGGAGAAATGGTGCAGTGAGTTATGGAATGGGCGCTTATATATGTTTAGGTTTAGATCTAAATAATCCTGTGTAATTAAACAACAGACATCTTCCGGTGCAGAAATTTCGAATATGCTATTCCTGTCGTGACTGCAACTCGTTATATTGTTCAGGATGTTTTGAAAATTCTTATGTTATATACATTGTGACCGAAAGGTTTTCGGAGGTTCTCATTTAAAATTCGCGCGCTGTATATTTTTCGATATTTTAAGTTTATGTAGTTTGGCAGCACTGTCCTTAATTACTATGCCAAAAATGAGCGCGATCTGTCGGACAGTTCGTTTACGGCAGCTGTTGAAACCAGTTCACCTCAGTAGTGCGTTGCGAAAAAAACAATGGAAAAAAATATTGAACAAAGAGTTTGCATCAAATTTTGTTTTTCGAACGAAATTTCGTGTGCAGAATCGTTGCGAATGCTACAAAAGGCTTATGGGGAATCAGTTTTATCGAAAACTCAAGTTTATGAGTGGTACAAAGCCTTTCAGGACTGTCGTACGACCGTCGAAGACATGCCGCGTTCTGGACGACCTTCGACCTCTACCACCGACGAAAACATTGAAAAGGCAAAGGAAATCGTGTTCAAAAATCCTCATGTGAGTGTTAGAGAGATAGCACGAGAGCTAGGCATCGGTCGTGAGATGGCTCGTTTGATTTTGGTGGACAATTTGTGTATGCGACGTGTCAACGCCCGGCTTGTTCCGATTCACCTCAATTTGTTCAACATTATCAACGATTTTAAGGCCAAACATTCAATAAATACCATCGAACAGCCACCGTATTCACCTGATCTTGCACCGTGTGACTTTTTCCTGTTTCCCAACCTCAAATTACCACTCAGAGGAACGCGTTTTGAATCCATAGAAGACGTAAAACAGAATTCGCAGAGGGAACTCAAAGCCATACCGGAAAGCGCCTATAAAAATGTTTGATGATTGGAAGAAACGTTGCATTTGTGTATCGCTTCTAATGGAGCATATTTTGAAGGAGATAAAATAAATATTGATGAAGATTAAGAATTTTGCGTTTTATTTATTTATGACCGGAAACTTTTCGGTCACAATGTACTTCCAATTTGTATGGATTAAGTTAGTTAAGTATTACTTGACTATTAAACTATTATTGAAATAGGAACCTGGTTTTATTATTTCCTCTCAATATACAATATAAATTTATTATATTTTACATTGTTAATATATAAAAAATAATCCAAAAAAACTAATCAGCTTGTATCATGTGATAAAATTAAACCAACAGCGTCACTGTTCCTCACTTAAAAAGCAAACTAATAAAACTGATTGCTTAAATTGGTTCAATATCACTGCCATCACATCCCAACTGAATAAAAATTTTTATTAAATTTTATTGAAAAAAGTTATTTTTAGTAATGTAAAAATATATATTCACTTTTAAGTGAACATTTCAAATTGATTTGAGCGTCAAAATCAAATTAAACGGAATGGAGATAGGCTCAAGCCAGACGCTCGGCAAAATCTGTAAATCAATTTTGGCTGAAGTACTCAGTGCAACATTTCATGGTGCATTGTCAACTGAGTAATTGCATTTTATTTGCATTGCATCATTTAGTTGCATTAGTGTAATTTATGCAAATTTTAAATTTCATTGGAACGTTTTAAGAAAATATTTAGAACAGATAACAGATAAAAGCAGTTATGAGATATATTAAGTTGAATCTTAAGTGATGATTATGTTGATGTGAAGCTCACATATGCGCGTAGAGCTTCAAACACAAATAATAATATGAGAATGTTCTATTCCTATACTGTATTAGAATACTCTAGTAATTAAGGAGAAAAAGAACTATATTCAAGAAATCTCATTAAATGTGAAATTAGTATATAAACATTTAGTCTTATTATTAGACTCGAATGTTAGAGTTCAATATACTAAAAAGTATGTTGTATACATAACTTAATAAAATCATGGTGCCTTTAGACACCTTTAATTCCATATATCCACAGACATAAGGACTGAAAATTATATATTTTATTGCAATAGTAAATCACTGTAAAGCAACACTTTCTAACATATAGATAATATTCCGAATATTCTACTACTTGAGATCAGAAACCTTTTATTTTTTTTTTTCACACATAGTTTTAAATTTTATCAGTATTTATTAAATATAGAAGGCATTCTACTTATAACATATAAGACACACTGGGTATTTAATTTTTACATGTACCACCTCAGAAGTATTTGATTATACAAGTATTTTTCGCCACCTCATAAGAGATTTGATGAGGAAACGATTACTTTATTATTATAATTATAAGAAAAAACAATGGTATTCCAAGATCAATGAAATTTATTGTTATCGCTGTAAAAATTCTTCTATTCTAACTCGGATAAATCTTAATGCATTGATAAATTTTATAATAGTCTATTTTTTAGATTAGAATACTGTATTTGTCATTTTCTGACAATCAATGAAAATTAATCCATTTTATATGATGTATTTTAGTCAATATTTCATAAAATCTATTGATATCATCAACCTCTTATTCCATCTTTGAAAAGCGGTAGTTAAAGGAAGTATAATAACATAAGAAACTAGTAGTTCATCTAAGTTCAGATGTATTGTGACTAATTGAAACTGGATACTATTTACTTAGGTCTTTCATATTTTCTTCTTCTTAGAATGAACTCTTTGAATTTCGTATTGGAGGAATGAACTGTTTTGGAATGAACCGGTTTGGAAACAGTTCAAAATTGATTATCTGTAAGTATAGCTGTTTAAATGTAGATCCACTTTGATAAGTGCAGATCTCTAAGAGAGGTTTGGTACCTATGAAAGGAGTTTTGCCAGGCTGATTTGCAAATGTCGAATGTCTTGTGTTAAGATATCTTGATAAGAAACGATAACATATAATTTGTGTTAGTCAACACAGGTTTGAAAGTCTTACAACTTCAAATTAAATTAAATTTAGTAATACAATATGGATTAATTATTTTATAGTTTTCTTCCAATATATCTATCCGAACAAATAATAATGCTAATATATTTATATTTAAAAGTAACATATCTAAAAGTAACATATCTATATGCCTCCGAGTGGAAGTGCTGACAATGGTCAGCACGCGCCTTTCGAACCTAACCTAACATATCTGACGATTTTTTCAAGTTTTATATCATTTGAAGCTAGGTAGGCGTACTCAAAATGGCGGTGAAGATGTGTTTGAGTCGTGACAACGTTAGAAAAACTATTTCTTTCGTATGAGCCCGGAGCAATAAAATCGTAATGTTGTAATAATTATAACTGTAACATCGTAATAATTATAATTATAATATGGTAAATACCATATTACACATATGATAATAATAATTATATTAAATCACGTAGTTGTAGGCTTACAATGGAATATAGCGATCATAGTAGAGATCAGCTCAGTCTGAGATCAGCATACAATATGAAATACTTAATATGGCTATCAGAATTTTAGTAAAGTAAGTTTTGATGTATTAAAATTCTGGATTTAGTTCTTCGAAATGAATTTAAACAAATAACTGAATATTTGAATATTAGTAACAGATATGATTTAAAAATGAAAAATTATTCATAATGTTTAATACGTATTATTTTTCTATGTATTTATAAAGCATAATTTCGTATAATGGCGATATAAGTTTAACAGATACGATAATACAATAATTATTAATTTATTTTATGGAACATTTCGTGTTGGACTCATAGGTTAATGTTAAACAAACGTTAAGCTAAAAAGTTATAACTGTAAAAGTAATTCAAAACAACTACTTTATCTGCTTTCCAATGCGATGTAATAAAAGAAAGTTTCTCTAACATCCTTGTAATGTTTCTTTTATTATTTTGCTGTTCATTAAATAAGAAAATTAACTGCAAAATATAATTGAGGGCCCATGTGGGAAAAACAAATAAGAAAAAATATAATTTACTAGTTTACGTATGCATATATTTGTATGCCTATATCTATATACGAATGTATCTACATATATGTGTGTATCTAAACAGTTTATTAAGATAGAAGCCATGTGGCCTACCACGTGTTGCTTGTTATATTAACTTCATAAGCAAATAAGCACATATGTATGTACATATATGCTGGTATAGATACCAGGGCAGATATGCTATATGAATAAAGAAAATTAGCTTGCTTGTATCTATTAGAGTAATTTTTTTTTTTTTGATTAAACCCTTGCCAAGTAACTTAGGTATAAATGGAGTGTTTCATGTGGTTTAATTAACATAATTAATTTGACAATACTCTTGCAACTACTAGTACATCTGTAAAATGTGTGAGATAATAAATTCACTTTTTAGATAAAAAACTTATCCTTAATAAAAACTAATTTATACTACATCATCTCTACGCTATTTTAAGGTAAAAGTTTATGATTTAAAGTACGAGAAGCTTGGATTCAGTGTACCCTAAAGATGACTATAGACTATACTATAAACTAGAATATAATTTTAATTTTTTTTCTGTCTTTATGAGATTGGAAAGTTAACAGACACGATTTTAGAAATGAAGAGGTTGAACATAGACATTCTTGGAATAAGCGAAACATGTTGGCCAGATTCCGGTGAAGTCATACCATGAAATTGTAACAAATTTAAGTTAAATATAGAGCAAAGTCAAAATATTTATTTAATTATATGATCATCGCCTACATTCGAAATCGAATTGGCGAATAAAGAAGAAGAAGAAGACATTATAATTTAAAAAGTTGTATATTATTTGAACAATAGAACAATTGACCCGTTTCAAAAATAAAAATAATAAAGTTATGTGGTTAATAAATATTCCTTGTAAAATATTATAAAATATATTAAAATGAATATTCACCTTAAATAATCTAGAAACATTTTGTAGCCAAGTAAATACAACATTTGTTGCTTGCAAGGTCTGCACTGAAGGTAACGATGCGGGATGTTGAGAACCAATAGAACGATAAGATGACGAAGATAAGTTGCGTTTATGTTTAGAAGATGAACCACTTCCTTCATCACTTCCAGTACGCGGGATATCCGATTGAAAGATCGCCGCTGTTGGATGTGAGTTAGCGAGTCTCTTCGCAACACGCGGACTAACCGATGGAATATTATCGATATCGATTTCAGTTGTTTCAGTCGCAATGGAACCAGATATATTGTCTTCAGTAATTGAACCGCCAGCAATATTTAATTGTATTTTGCTATTTTGTAGAGGCGAAAGGCGTTTAGCTTTTTGCGTTGTTAACGCCGATACAGCTGATAAGTCCGCAACATCAGCCGTTGTTGGCGTTGATGAACCCGTATCTGAGTCAATTGATGCATCTGTCGATTCATCAGGTTCATGATCTCTTATTGAAACGAATGGTACATTATAGGAACGTATTTTGTCGCCAGCTGTTTCACTGTTTGCTGAACGCATATAAAGTATCGTCGTGGTGGGGGCGGCAACACTTGTTTCAGTTATATTATCTGTTTCGCCTACAGCCAATGCACCTGCATGGGTTGTAGGCGTATTTGTTATGTTATTTGTCTTCGAACTGACATGAACAATGGGCAGAACATCGATAACTTCCTCATCTTCGGGCTCATCAATTTCAAAACTGGTATCACCATCATCTGCATATGAAGTTGTTGTTGGTTCTTCATCATTTGTGTTAATAATAATTTTATTATCGGACGGCGTGTTTGTGTTTGTAGTATTTTCTTCATTGGCTGTTGTATTAGGTTTCGTGGACATACCGTTGCAAAGGAAACGTTTCAAAAATGATTTGCTTTTTTGTGTACCAATAAGCTTTGATCTATTTTAGAATTTATTATAAGTTTTATATTTAACTAGCTTCTAATTTAATATACATCTAATAGGTTTCTGTTTCAATATTTCTAGAATTTCAATTTTTATGTTTAATTGCACACATTTGCTAACTTGATTTATCACATCACACTTTATATTACTCTTCTCTTATATCATATTTCTTACATTTAAGTTTATATAAATACATATTTTAGGTATTTTATTTTTTTTTCTGTTTTTGTTTGGTAATGGTAACGTTTGAAACGGGAACTCGGTTGACTTTCTATTAAGCAATCACAGTTAAGGTAAGAAGCTTATTTTCCACTAAATTACGGTTCGCTGCAAAACGGGCAAAATATGTAATAAATTGGCTGGAATTTAGAATTTAACTTTGGTTTTATTGTATCTTTTTCGTAAGTACTTCGCATTTATGTTCTTGAATCAGTGACATATTTAATTTTCATTTTTAGCTATATGTATCTATGCTCTATTATTATTGTTGAATCATTAAGTAGTTAGGCACTTTCTAGATGTATGTTTGCTTGTGTACATATGTCATTCTTCATTTAAGTTTAAGTTTAAGTTTAAAAAGTAAAGCACGTTTAGCAATTATAAATGTTTATCAACTTTTTATCTGCTCTTAGCTCTTTTATCTGCTCTTAGAAAAAAAAACAATAGATACTTAGTTCACTTTTATTTAGCAAAGCAACAAACAATTAAACTTTAATTTTATTTTTATGTATGTGTGTGTGTTTATGTGTTGTTTATTTATTTAATTTGATGAGAATGAAACAGTTGAATATTAAATACAAATTTGAAGAATTAAATTCTTATCTCATTTCAATGACACAGTTCTTGTCTTTCAAACTATACTACTTCATGGTCAGTACCCTCGTTCGTGCTTGGAAAATCATTTTGTGTGGGTACGAAAGGATAAAGCATGAAGAAACGAAAAACGGAAGGCAATACTTAGACATGTTTGTAGGCTGGGCTGATATGGCTATGACACAGACATGTGTGTTGACTTAACATGGGTTCACTAAAACATCTACCATCCCAACCCCACCTTAAATAACCTTGACAGAAACTTATTTGAGCTACCTCAATCCTTTATGAAACTTTTCATCCATTTTAATAAAAAATGTTTAAACATCATTTACTAAAGTAATTAAGTTGAACATTGAAAATTGATTCAAGTTCAAACAAAATAAATCAAATTCGTCTTCAAACTTGTTTTAATGTATAATTTACAATTACAGTTGTTTTAAATTCTTATTAGATAGTTTTAAATGAAAACTAAGAGATTTACTTTATACGAACTTGAGATTTACTTGCATGCATACTTGAACAATGATATATGCATATACAGTAATCCCCCCTATAACGCGGCACCAATCTAGTGCGTCATAGGGGTATTACCATATACGGGATATACACACGTGCAAAGGTACGCGAAGCTAATTATGAACTGTACAAATCCCCGCGTTATATGGAGGAATTCCCGTATTATACGGAGGATTAAAATCTCGTAATATGAAAACGCGTTGTAAGAGTACCGCGTTATAGGAGGATTGCTGTATATTACAATAATAGTAAAAAGGAAATTAGGAAAAATAAGCACAAAAAGGTATAGAAGAAAAAGCGTGGAAGAAAAACATTAGAAGAATAACGGATAAGAAAAATAGGAAAAAAAAAGTAGATGAAAAAATAGAAAAGGAATGTAGAAGAAAAAATAGAAAAGAAAAGTAGAAGAAAAAGGTAGAAAAAAAAGAAAAAAAAATTAGAAGAAAAAAAAAGCAGAAAAAAAATTAGAAGAAAAAGAAGATAAAAGTAGAAGAAAAAGAAAATAAAAGTAGAAGAAAACGAAGATAAAAGTAGAAGAAAAAGAAGAAAAAAGTAGATGAAAAAAGTTAAACAAAAAGTAGAAGAAAAGACGCTGAACAAAAAGAAGAAAAAAGTAGATGAAAAAAGTTAAACAAAAAGAAGAAAAAAGTAGATGAAAATAGTTAAACAAAAAGTAGAAGAAAACACGCTGCACAAAAAGAAGCAGTACCAAAAAGAAGCCGAACAGAAAAAGTAGAAGAAAAAAGTAAAAGAAAAAAAGTAAAAGAAAAAAATAAAAGCAAAAAAGTAAAAGCAAAAAAAGTAGAAGAAAAAAGGCAGAAGAAAAAAGTAGGTGAATTATAAAAGTACAGTTGAAACTATTATAAATAAAAAGAGCTAATATATTAATATAACTGAAGTCAACAATAAGAATAGATCAAAGGTTTAAACTGCTGTGAGAAGTACACCATGTTTGACCGATTTGTTAAATTCCCTAGTTTGCGATGGAACACACATATGATTAGATTGAAAAGATACACTAAAAGAAAGTGACAGCTAATTTTTAAAGCGCATTTATACCATATAACAGAAAATAACGAAATCAAATATGACATGAAAACATCTAAGCAGATGGCATTAGAAATTGGAGATATGATAAATAAAAAAGCAGACAAAGCTCGTTGTACTTTGATAATAAAAAATTAAATATAAAAATAAACAAAATATATATTGTTTAGATAATCTTCCTAACATGATTTTTAACTATAGAAGCTATAGGCGTGGCTTCGTCCATTATTCTGCAGAAAATTATTTACGACAATAAAGTAGTGTTCATTCATCGCCTTTAAGTTTCAACTTTTAAAAAAACGATAAAATTGCTCGGGTAAAAACTACAGTCGTAGTTTCGTATGAAAGGGAGTCCAATATCTTTATATATAATTTATATATATAAAGTCGCTTAATTTAAGGTTTTGTACTATTTCTCTTAGTTTTCAAATTTTACTTTCATCAAATAAAAATGGGACATGAGTTAGATAAGAAATGCGATCCCGAGAAACTAGAATCCAAATATCATAAACGAAGATATAAGGTACCGAAGAACAGTTTTGGAACAAAAAAAATATAGTTATTGCTAGCTCTAGATTCTAATGAAATCTGTCAAAAACAAGGTGGCCCTATTTGTGTGTATTACATTATTAATTTTGTTTACAAAAACTATTTTCAATTATAGTAAAACTGATAGTTGTCAACTATGAGTGCAATGTATTGTATAATTATTGAAGTAAACAAAAAATGCATTAAATTTTATGACTCAGTTTTAATACCGTGCAATAGAGTAAAAATGTTTAAGGTATTCCCATTAATAGAAAACGTTTTAATGATGCATGATTCACACTACTAAGTGATTTCAATACTATTATAATGATTTAATATATAATGAAACTTTGATGATATTATTTGAAAAATATTTTAATAATTTTTGTTAGAAAATATGATATTGCTGTAATTTTGCTTTACTTTAAGTAAAACAAAAAAAATTAATATCTTTTGTACTTTGATAAGTTAACGTTTTTGGAAAATCAAAATTATGGAAACATTGGCCAAAAGCCAAAATGCCACTTTGTTTTGCTCATTACTTTTATGATGGTCGAAATATTAAATATTTATGGATTATGTTAGTGCAAATTATTACACTTACGAGCACTATAAATATATTATTTATTTCTTGCGAAAAAAAATTACTACCAAAATTATTGATGAAATGAGTTTTGCCAACGTGAGCAACGACATCGACAACCCATCACACCCATCACATCCATCCAACAATTCAACCATCCAACCATCATTATCATTACCGCACCACAGAATTATCGAACACAAACACATGCCGCCACACGCAACTATAATGTTCTGCAAAGAAGCGATTTTCACGATTTTCACGATTTCCACAATTTTCACGCCATAACAGTTTCTGCATGTATTCAATGCTCCCAAGGACATGGCAAGGACTGAAGGTGGACACGAAATTCGAGACTTTATGGGCGTTTCGTATATGCAAAATATTAAAATAATACAAGACGAAAGCGAAAGGTACGAATAAACTGCATGAGTTTATTCTGAAAATGAAAGTTCATCAAATTGTTGACACGTAGTTTCGTTTCAATGAATAAAAATACTGACAAAAGTTAATTAAAGGATAAGTTTATGGCGAAAAGATTAAAGGATTTTAATGTTGATGGGCTTAATATTTTGACACTTTAAGCAAAGGACATTTAAAATTGATTCTCTGAAATTAATAATAATTGAAATGTATTCGATTTATATTATATACCATACATAGGTTAGGTTAGGTTATAGCGGCGATCTCTAGTGGATCCACTTAGACTATTATATACATAAATTAAGTATGTTGATGGGGTTAATATTTTGACACTTCAAGTAAAGAACATTTAAAATTGATTCTCTGAAATTAATAATAATTGAAATATATTCGATTTATATTATATACATAGGTTAGGTTAGGTTATAGCGGCGATCTCTAGTGGATCCACTTAGGCTATTATATACATAAATAAGTATATTATCAAAAATAAAAAGTTTTTTGAAGTAGTTTTAGCTATAAATTCATGCTATCCGCTTTCTAACATTTCGAAAGAGTTTAAATATTTAGATATACACAAATCATTCAATTAATCTGAATTAATCGTATGCGCCAAAAAATTCGAGTTTTAAACAAATCCAGATTATTCGGTTTTTTTACTATATGAATTATTTATGCCGAACAGTTCGAAGAAATTAATATAGTCAACACTACTATATAAACACTACTATTTATAAAAGTAATTCTACATGAAAAGTTTCATGAAAAGTTCTATCAAAAAAATAGAATAGAATAAAATTGACTACTTTTAAACTATAGTTAAAATTTAATTAAATTATTTATTAAACTATTTAAATATGAATTCTCAGTTTGTGACTAATACGCTATATATTATATATTATACTTTTTTTGTTGTCTACTGATAGCCCAACTATAGTAGACAATCTAATAAACTATGCTACATTTTTTATCGTAGGTTTTTAAAATGTGAGAAATGCTGAACTGACACAAATATTCACTTTGGCATATGGGTATACTGACTATTGTATACTACAGAGATTTTCAATGAAGCAAACACGTGAATGATATACATTTGTAAATTGTTGTAACGTATAAACCGTAAAGTAAATTATTTCCAAGAATTTTGTGAATAAATTATAGTACAAAATTCGAAAACTCAAAATTAATTTTCATAGCAAAATAATTTGCTAGCTTAATTTGTTTTCCTATTATACAATCACGCACAAGTCATTGTTTGTATTAAACGCATGACATAGTCAATATGAGGGAATAGCAAACGAATGAATATAGAATGAGTAAATGCTTACGTCTAAACATGTGTTAAAAATTTGTCAGACATTTGGAGTGAATCAAATTTACACAAAAAACGATGTGATCAAAGATACATAATAATCGTCCAAACATAAGAATCTAGTGTAGAATAATGATACACACGTTGTAGAATAGAGTCATGTAGAATAACAGAATATTATTATAGATAATAATATCTATTTTATAATAATAATAATATAGAATAGATTGTGCATAACATAGAATTGATAGTGTTAGTTTACACAAACAATAATGCACGACTATCTTTGTTTTTCTTACGGCACAGGAAATCTCTAGAACCGCACACTATCCACACACTTAGCAACATGATCTGTTGTTAATAGATATCGTTGATTACTTTACAGTATAGTACTAACTATATCGATTTTTAAAATTTTGAATATTATTTATATATGATAATTTGGTGTAGTAAGCTTCAATAGAGAACTAAATCAAAGTTAACATAAATAAGTTCAATCAAATGGATTGCAGTTTTAAATTTGAAGAGAATAGTTGCCTTCAAAATTGTTTATTGTTTAATTAAACATAAAAATTGAAAAACTAAAAAATCTTTTCACTATTAAAAGTTGATTTAAAATATGCTTACTACCTTAGAGATTATTTTTCAAAAGTTCTTTAACAGATTAAACAGTTTTATTGGAATTTGCTGAGTACTTGCGGGTCACTAATATGCTTGATACTTGCATTTCCGTGAACGTATATTTTGTTCTGTACAGCACGTACATTTGCTTAATTTTATTTCACACTTCAATTTGGATTAATTTTGTTAAAATTGATTACTAAATTACTAAACGATTGAAAAATTATAAATAATTTTGCACTAACTTTGGAATATGCCAGATTTGCCAAGGGAAAAGTTTTACATATCACTTTTTTTTCTACGAGTAAAGAAAAATTAAAAACTTTTTTAAGCATAATTATCGTGGCAATCTTCTCTAATTTGAACGTAGTTAAATTTTTAAACATTTCCAAATGAACATTTTTTCAAAAAAACCAATTTTATATCTACATTTTTGTGCAGAAGAGCTAAACGTACGCTCCGCGCCGGCTTTACCAGAGACACTGAAGAAACTGCTTGGAACGACATCGTGCCAATTGGCAACGCTACACTGAAATTACTACGTTGACAAATGCTAGGAAAAAATTAAATAAACAAATACGAGCACATTTTTACGTAAAAACACAAATGTCAGCAAAAAAAATCTCATAAATAATAAACAAACAATGAAAACAATAATAAAAATAAAATGAAAATATAAAATTATATTTATAAAGTTGGCTTCAAAGTCGAGATTTTCGCCCATGCAAGTAGAAAATATGAAACTTTTCATAGTGAAGAGCGGATCGAGTTGAAATGAAGGTAAAAGTATGAATGAGTCCCATATTGGCAAAGCAGCGTATGCCCCAGTAGCGCTGATACTCTTCCGGCACTCTTCTGCTAGATGTGATGAGAGTATATGATAACACAATACGATACAACTAAGATATGAACAGCAAATCGCTTCCAAGACAATTATTGCTGAGATATATTAATTCAGATAACATTTTCAATCTATACATAATAATGCATAGATAGCATAAGATAAGATCTCGTTGAGATATATGAATTTTGATATACATATTATGAGCAAATTATATACCTAAAGTGCTTATGACAATGCCAGATAACATCTTCAATTTTGCATAATTTTGCATAGACAGTATAAGATAAGATCTTGCTGATATATATGAATTTTGTAATACATATCTTGAGCAATTCATAAAAAGTGTTTATCTGAGATAACATCCTCACTCATCTGCAAGATGAGATCGTGTACATAAAACTCCTACAAAAAGTTATGCAAAGAAAAGTCACGAGAGTTTTTTAAATATTATTAGTGCTGCAAAATGTTCAAAGATTGTGATGTTCGAATAGATTGGGTAT